CTGGGACCAACAAGTGCTACCAGTATTTCAAAAAGATAGGAACTTGGGGGAGGGCGCGCCAAAGTAAAAGTGCCGCCCCCGAAGTTCGGACGGATGGAAGCTTCTAGAAGCTTCCACAAGCCGCCCTACATCTGCTTGTTTATTAATTACTATACTATACATTCCATAGTACTACTAACATTGCAATAAGTTAGTAATACCACCCATCAGATACAAATAGCCGCAGCTCCTTGCACACTTAGTTGCCTGAGCCGAAGTCGTCGTACACGAACGCGCAGATTTCCTTGCTTCGACTATCTTGGGTATTTAAAGTGTTTTCGTAGAAGCGGAGAGTGCAACAGAAGCTCAGAGAATGGGTGGTTGTAAGGAGTAAAAGCAGACAATAAGTGCAAGTTTTATTAACATTTTGTTTATAAATGATTGGACTGTCATAGTGGAATTATTACTGCACGGATATTATTTTTTCTAGGGCCTGTGGCGAACCACAGCTTCCTTCACACTTGATCCAGTCAGAAATCTTGTCTTTCAGTGTTTCTTTCCAACCCGATCACCTTTGCCATCTTCTCGATCCCCGTACAGAAGCAACCTTGGAGCACTACTACGCATGATGCTGTTGTCTTCAGCAAATATGGATTTTATATTCGATTTTTGATTGGAGCCTGCAGTGATCACCAAACCAGAAATTCTAACATGTTGGATGTACGTATGGTGTTGGCATCAAGAGCTCGTGACCACATCGGCGTCAACACCTGTCGAGTTGGCCTACAGCTGCAGACTACTGTGCGCAGTTATACAACAAAGGGCTTTAGGCCCAGGAAGAGTGAACCTAAAGTCTTCCCGGCAGAACTGGATTTGCCAGCTGAACGTCGGACCACCTCGGAAAGGATGAATGGCTTCATTTCCAGTCTTCCCTACACATGAAGAGCCTTTTCCTAATGACGAAGTGTTGATTTTTTCGCAAATCAACGGTTTATGTGCACAACAATGTTGCGGTGTCGTATGGTTTGTGCCAGACTTTCATTCGTGCACTTGTCAATTGGCCATGACGTCTCCATTCCACAAAGTAGCGCGCAAAATCTCGCACAAACTGGACGAGTATGAGGCCGCGGTGGTGGACCGCTACACTGCCGTGGGGGAGAACTTGACACAGACGCGAGTCCGCGTCAAAAGCAGCCTGAACAGTCAAGAAAAGAAGCTGTCGGAGACGTTCGAGCACTGCGAAACCGCAATAGTCAACAGCTATACCGCCATGGGGGAGCATTTAACACAGACACAAGAGAGACTCAAGGATAAACTCAACAGTCAAGAGCGGAGAATCTCCGAGAAGGCAGCGCAACTTCTGTCAAAGCCTGGAGTTCCGAAGATGCTAAACCCTCTACGTGATAAGCTCAATGGAGAGTGTCTGGCCATCGAAGCAGAGACAGTGGAGTCACAAGGAAGAGTCGACAGTTCGAATGAGTCTATTGACCTCAAAAACCCAGGGAAGGAGTCGTTTGATGACCATAGCACCGTTACTTCGGATTCGGAATGTTCCTATACGGAATACCATCCGGACGATTACATCATTAACAAGGGGCGGATACCTCGTGAGAAGGTGGTTGTGCAGGAGTTTATCAGTCGTGGAGCGTTCGGTAAAGTGTATAAAGGGACGTACAATGGCCAACTTGTGGCTGTGAAGACGATGAGTGACGTGGACACGTTCGTCAAGGAGATCAAGATGGCGTGTTCCATGAGCCATCCGAACATCGTGCAGTTCATTGGCGTGGCGTGGAATTATCGTGAAGACTTTTGTTGTGTGATGGAATACATGGATGGAGGGGATTTACGAGGTCTGATGGATAAATACGAAGAAGAGAACCGTCGGACAGGCTTCGATGCGGCCAAGGTCACGATCGCGCTGCACGTCGCTCACGCTCTGGCGTATTTACACTCTCGAGACATTCCCGTGATCCATCGCGACTTGAAGTCAAAGAATATATTGCTGAACGAAGCGTTGGGTGCGAAGTTGACGGACTTTGGTGTCTCTCGAGAGCGAGTGGATAGAGCGATGACTGCTGATGTGGG